ATAAAACAATAAATGAATATAAATTAAATATAAATAAAATAAAATATAGAAGAAACAAATATTATAGAATAATATAAATGAATGAAGGAGAAGTTGTTCACAATGAATTATTTAGATGAAAAATGAATTATTTTGATTAATTTATTATGTTGAACATTGTCTTCTTTATGAAATAACATAATTGAATTAACTATATTTTTGTATTTCATTTTTAAAATTAAGTTTTGTTGAAAAGAATGGAATTGAATTATTAAATACATTATAACATAAATACAAAATATAAAAATAAATAGTATCTCTATTTCATTGTTGTTTTCAATAAAAGTAATGATGAATATCAAATAATTTAATGTTTGAATACGATTGTTTTAATTTTTTTGAAATAAATTTAATTGTATTAACATTACATATCATTAAAATAATTCTTTTCATTTGTTATCATAAATATTAATTGTATTTAATTAAATTATTAATTTTGAAATAACATATATTCATTAAACATTAAAAGAATACAATTTATTAAAGTCATGTATATTTTAACATAAAATAAATTCAATTATGTATATTAATATATTCATAATTAAACACGTGAGGAATAAATATGAATATTCATTTTGGTTTTTTAAATAATTTTACAGTACTTATTTAAATTCATATGTGATAAAAATTTATTGTTTTTATTTTATCATTTTGGGTTGTAATTGTAATGAAAGGAAAAGTAAAAAAGAGAAATGAAATAATTTTATTGTTGTTCAATAAAAAGAATAAAATGTGATAAGAACAATAAATGAAATTAAAAATATTCTATTTTTAGTATTTAAATTAAAATGATGATAAATAATGATGTTTAATATTTTGAGAAATACAATAAAAATGGATAATTCCAATGTAAAAATATTGTTTTAATAATAATTCTATTTTATCAATTTTAAAATGATGAAAGTAGTATTGTTAATTAGAAATAGTTGGTAAAAGTGTAATGATATCGATGAGTATTTAATATTGAACTTTAAAAGAGTTAATTCATTAAATGATTAATTTAATACTTTTATTAATTACATTCTCATTTGGAAAGAAATATAATAAATACAACGAATATATCTCAGTTGTAGATATTGTTGATAATGTATTTGAATGTATTGATGAATTAATACTTTCAGAATATAATAAATAATCAGTGATTAATGAATTGAAAAGGAATTTAGAATCATATATATACAAAGATATATTGAAGAATCAACCAACTGGTTTATATCATTATGAAAAAGTAAATATTGATGATTGATTAAGTAAAATAAATATGACTAGTGGAAGTGTATATGATTTTTATTCACAAATTCAAATTTTATTTATTTAAGCAAAAGATCCTTTGTTATCTCTTCAATAAAACAAAATCATGGTTCATAAAGAAAAACATATGTATCTTATTCATAAATATTATTATAAAAATGTGCAGATTGATGTTCCAACACAAATAGAAAATAATAAAGATACTTATGTCAAATCAATAAATGGAAAAGATCAATTTGAAATTGTTAGAGACATTGGAAAGAAATAAAGTTCATTTAAATATTCCAATCTTGATAATTCATTTACTCAAGGAAAATTACTTTTATTACCATTATCAAAAGAATATTCAATGTGCCGTTAAGAAACACATTGAAATGGTGAAAATGTTGATGTTCAATATAAGTTATTGAAATTATCACACTCTCAATGAATAAAACAAGAAGATAAAATCTTTCTATCAACAAAAGAAAATTACACAAATAACATAGTAAGAGAAGTGAATATGGTGATAAAGATGATAATATTTATTGTAAAGTATATAATAATACTCTTGTTATTAATGGATATGGTATTGATAATGACTTATACTTAATTCAAAAATGGTTAGAATTATTTGATTCAAAGGAATATCCAATTTAAATTATTCTTCCATAGAATAATGATTGAAGTGAAGAATTAGGAATATGGATTTAAAAATCACTAGCACCATACTATGATATAAATTTACTTTCATCATCAAGGGAATCTTATAATACAGCTTCAATATTAAAAAGGTTATATAGAATATTTTGTTGGTTCAAAAACTAGTGAGAAAAGATGAAGTTATTGTGATGAATGAATAGAAATATAATGTTGTATGTGTAGAAGCACTAAAGATGATGATGCATTTTTATTTTATAAATAATGTATTAGAAGACAGAGAAAATGGTATGCAAAACCAAATATTATTAAATATAATGATGTTAAACATAAAATTATACAACCATCAATTGAATTGTTTCCAAAAAAAGAAAATAATGAAATATCCAAGAAAACCAACAGAAATAGTAGTTTATACATATTTATATTGTTATTCAGCATGTTCATTGGTAACAAAAAGATTAAAAGAATGAGGAGGAGCTATTCTTGTTTGATTTGATGGAGATCCATATGGTAAAGATGAAGAATTTGAAGTAGGATTGTCACCAACAGCTGTTATTGAATCTGTTCCTTTACTCCCTCATATATGGATGGGAGTATATGGATATAATCTTAGAATAAGTGTTGGAGAAAGATACAGATATAATTATGAATATAATGAAACAATTCCTAGAGAATTTTTAACTGATATGATTGATGAAAGAGTGAATATTTATCAATTTTCAAATTATAAGATAAAAGAATTTGAAGAAGAAACAAATAAAATAATAGAGAAATATAAAACAAAATGTAATCCAAAGAATAAAAGATTAGTTAAAAGAGATAGTAAATGTGATAAAGAAATTAATATTGAACATGGATGTGGAGGATATGAATGTGGAGATAATGGAGAATGGAGTTCAAAATGTGTACTAGCTTATTGTGATGAATGATACATGTTTGATTATATCAACAACAAATGTATTGAAGATGTTTGTTCAGATGGAATACCAATAAGCATAATAAAGGTAAGCATGGTTAGTATTGGAATAATCGCATTAATTCTTTAATTGAAGAAAGAATAATTTAAAATGTATTTTTAGTTTAATAAAATAACGATAAATAAATGATGAAATAAAGAACAAATAAATAAAAAACTTAACTGAATGACAATTTGTATGATAGAAATAATATTTTCATATTTCATTTGTTATATTTGTTTAAAATGAAATAAAAAGGAATAAAACATAATTTTGATTAACCATATATTCAAAATAAATAATACAAAATGTGTGAAAATGATGTTATAATTATATTTCATCGTCATTTATTTCAATTTATAGAAAATATAAACATTAAAAACATTAAAATAAAATCAAATTATTGTTTTGATCAATATTCTTCATTTCCTTCATTATAATTTAGTACTTTCTCTATTTCATATATTTTATGATGAGCTTTACGTTCAAAACTAGTTCCTGGATTAACAACGTATGCATTATCTTCGGTAACAATAATTCCTAAATATTCATTATTATCAATCTCATCAAATGGACATTCTCTTTGCAATTCTATTTTAAGTTTGAGTAAGTTGATAAAATCATTTGATAATTCTTGAACTTTTTCCAATACATTTAATTGTTTCTTAAATGATTCAATTTCATATGTTAATGATTGTGCATCAACAAAATTATTAAATGATTCATGTAATTTATCTAATTGTTCTGGCGTAAGGTTTGCAGATTTTATTGCAATTCCAAGTGGTGTATTATTTTGGATATTAGTCTGAGGAGTACCATTACCTCCTTGTTGTGGGAATGTTATTTTATTTTGTGTACACA